TGTGTGTGTGTGTGTGTGTGTGTGTGTGTGTCTGTGTGTGTGTGTGTGACAGTATAAAGTAGCTCACAGACATTTTGTTTGTTTCCAAACACGTGTAAATAAAGTTATTCCTCTCGTCGTGGAACAAATGAAACTTGGAGGTTTGGTTGGTTTGTCGGTGTCGAGGGCGAATCAGTGGGTGAAGAGTCAAACAGAGTTTCAGTTGAACAGGTCGGACCGGACGAGCTGTCAGTCAGCGACAGGTCAGCCCCTCCCTCCAGGTGTGAGCCCCTCCTCCCAGGTATGAGCCCCTCCTCCCAGGTATGAGTCCCGCCCCATCCATGTGTGAGCCCCGCCCCATCCATGTGTGAGCCCCGCCCCATCCATGTGTGAGCTCAGCCTCGCCAGGAGTGAGTTCCTCCCTCCAGATGTTAACCCCGCCCCTTCCTCCCTGTGTGAGTCCATCCCTCCGGCTGTGGGCCCCGCCCTCCGGCTGTGGGCCCCGCCCTCCAGGTGTACAGAGCCTGCAGCTGAGCCGGAGACTCAGGAAGCTGCACATGAACCATGTTTCCGCTGCTGCTGGCTGCTGTGGTGCTGGGAGGATACATCATCCTCACGCAGACGATCTTCCGAAGGGCCAAATGTCGAGGGAACGCAGCGATGGCCGGAAAGACCGTCGTCATCACAGGTGAGGCTGAGGGGGCGGGGACACGTATACAGGTATTTTCGAAAAAAAACAAAAATGGAACTATTTCCAGTCGATTCAAAGTGTTTTGTTTGCACATATAAAAACAGACTCACTGAGGTTAATGATTAAAAGATGTTTGTGTGACATATTTATCTGATACCAGAGTTTCGGGTGCAGCGTCACAACCACGTTTGAAAATGAGACGCCGCAGGAAACATGTCTCATCAAATCTGTCGCCATCCTCGTTGTTCATGAACCTTTGGTGCTGGGATTTTTTTTATGTGAAACGTGAACTTCCAGCAAATAAATAAATATAATAAGAGAATAATGTGTGATGACTCTTTTAACATCTGCATTAAAATGTGTTTCAGGTAATCAGATTACAATCAGACAGAGTTTGATCACGGTTCAGGTGTCAATCAAAGACCTTAAACCATTTTGACAAACATTTATTTAACGTCTACTTTGATTTCTTTGTTTGGTCCATGTCCCATCTGCTAACATGGAGGAGCCTATGATCCAGCCACCAGACAATACAGTGTTTTTACATGTTGTTCATCTTGATTTACAATCTGATATAAACTTTTATGCAGGAGGAAACACCGGCATCGGTAAAGCCACGGCGCTGCACCTGGCCAGGAAGGGAGCCAGAGTGATCCTGGCCTGTCGAAGCCGGGACAAGGCCGAAGCTGCTATTGCTGATATACAACAGGTAGGAAGAGAACGAGTGAGGGTTGTGTCACATCCTGCTTTGTGTTTGTGCTCTGAGGCAGCAGCAGATTGTCCGACTCGTTCACAACATCAGGAACATGTCAGAACATCTGTCTACATTCTTCAATCATAATCAACAGCGAACATTCAAATGAGTCTGACCATGAGGCACTCACCGGACAGTACAGCATTTAATCAATTAACAATAAAAAGAAAATAGACATTGATCAATTCAGTTATTGAGCCATAAAAACATGATCCGTTGATTTTTTATTGGGCAAAAACAAGAGGAATCTTAAATGTTCAGAGGAAATGTGAATCTTTGAATCAATAGAAAACAACAGAATGACACCGTGTGACAGTGAGTGCTCATCAAAGTCTTTATTTACACGCTGTCACCATGACGACACCCGTCATGGTGATCATCCAACATCATGTTCCGTTAACACTCGTCATGTTGCAGGAGACAGGAAGTACTGACGTTGTCTACATGCTGTTGGACCTGGCCAGTCTCAAGTCCGTCCGCTGCTTCGCCGAATCTTTCCTGAAAACTGAATGTCGGCTTGATCTGCTCATCAACAACGCTGGTACACACACACACACACACACACACACACACACACACACAACATACAGCAAACAAAGCGTAAGCCTCCATGCTCCAGGTTTAAAACTCGGAGGTTTAGATGCAAACATAGAATCTGAAGAACAGCCTGACGTCGCTGGAGCCACAGACACACGATCTGAACAAGCTTTTATCTGCTCTGCCACACCCAGGGGGCGGAGTTAGTTCACACATGTCGGTACGTCACGATATCTCAGGAACACCTTGAGAGAGTTTCTTCACTTTGATTCAAACAAAGGTCAAAGGTCATGGAGACCTCTCACATCACGATGAGGGAATTTGTTCACATTTCGTTGCTTAGTTCATATAAAACAGTTTGACGCTCACGTCTCCATTTATTCTACTTGATCAATATTATGAGCAGTTTTTAAATCGAATGATTCTGTACGTCTCTGTGAGGCTGCACCCTGAGATCTGTTCCCCTCATCAGCGTCACACTGTTGTTCAGGGTCCAGTGAAGTTCAGGGTTGGGTTAATTCTGGACACGTGACACGTTGGACATGAATAAACTTTGAATAAAGAGACGACCAGAGCGACTGGGACTCATCACGTGAGTGACGCTATCCACAGTGAGTCCAGCAGCTGCTCCACCGCTGCAGCTCTTTTTCAGTTTCACAAAGAAAACCACAGGATCAGGAACCCGCTCGTCCCAACGTACAGGTTCAGCACAGACGTCCCGACCTGTCCACCGTGATTGTTGGTGACACTGATGAGGAAGCTGTCATTTCTTCTTCGGTGTTTTTATGTGAACTATTCAGTGGATTTTATAACAGATGAGTTGTGTGTCTGTCCTGCAGGTTTGGTCGCTGACGGACGGACGGAGGACGGCTTCGGCATCGAGTTCGGAGTGAACCACCTGGGTCATTTCCTGTTGACCTGCCTGCTGCTGGAGAGGCTGAAGGAGGCCGGGGGCGGTCGGGTGGTCACCCTGTCCTCCATGGCTCACCGCTGGGGACACATCGACTTCGAGGTGCGCCCAGAACACAACATGTAACCAACATGTACACAACGTGTACACAACATGTACACAACATGTACACAACATGTCCACCATGTGTCCGCCATGTGTCCACCATGTGTCCACCATGTGTCCACCATGTGTTCTCAGGCTCTGGCGGTGGACAAACATCTGGGCACCGGCGGGTACAGCTGGCAGTTCTTCATGGCGTACTGCAACAGTAAACTCTGCAACGTCCTCTTCACCCACGAGCTCGCCAAGAGGCTGAAAGGAACCAACGTCACCTGCTACAGCGTCCACCCTGGTAATTCACCTTGACCTTCACTTTGACCTCCAGCTGCTCTCACCTCAGTTACACTGAAACTACACATGGACGGAGCGAAAGTGACCAGAGAGCAGACGTTAGCAGGTGGTAGCAGAAGTTAGCAGGTGTTAGCAGACGGTAGCAGACGTTAGCAGGTGGTAGCAGGTGTTAGCAGACGGTAGCAGATGTTAGCAGGTGTTAGTAGGTGTTAGCAGACGGTAGCAGACGTTAGCAGGTGTTAGCAGGTGTTAGTAGGTGTTAGCAGGTGTTAGCAGACGGAATCAGATGTTAGCAGGTGTTAGCAGGTGTTAGTAGGTGCTGGCAGATGTTAGTAGGTGTTAGCAGGTGTTAGCAG